CCTGCTGAAACTACACCCGAGAATGTATTGATAGCTGATCGATGTCCCTGTAGATGCAGAGAATCCGACAAACATTCTTCTAGTCGGGAAAACGTCTGAAAGATTGATGGATGTTGAAATAAGTGGCCGACTAGGCTTCTGAACGTTGAGAGGGGCCAGAGAAACATTCAGTACAGCTCCTTCATAATCAACCCAGACCTGAAGAGGGTTTCTGCTCAAGAGCCTTATGCTTCTGTTCTTCCCTTCGAAATCGGAAAAGTAAGAAGCCGGAGCAGATTCGACAGACAAAAGACTGTTCACATCAATTCCGACATGATTACCATCGATGTCATCAAACTCAGGGCTGAAAACAGTATCGAGCTCAACCGCAAACAGATGAGAAGATGGAGATCTATTCGTCGTGACGTTGAAAAGACCCAAGTACCGAGTTGGTTCCGCGTGTTCGAGATCTGAGGAAGAAGATACAACAAAGGCAATGCCATGGCCACCTTCAACTCCTGGCTTGGGTACCATGGCACAGATAAAATGTGCAGAGAAGGAGAGTGATTCAGATGGGTTCAACCCGAGTGGCCGTTTGAAGAAAGCATGACCCATTTGATGCCGGGAAGCGTTGGTCAGTTGCAGCAATCCGCTGGGGAGGATCCTTGCAGAACCATCAAGAGAAAGATCTGCTTGTCCGAAGCCATGGAAGACAAACCCTGTCTCCTGTTGCGTTGAAAAACACATCAGATGAACAAAAGATATCATCCAGATCAGATGAAATCCATGAGCCATTGAAGATGGAATCGGAGAGTCTGGTTCTTTTCTGCAGATCTTACCACTGGTCAAACGCTATATTATGAATTTTTATCCTTTCCAGCTGTAAGAAAAGGAACAAGGAAGGAAGGATGTTACCTTAAATTAATCTTTTTTCGCAGTTCCAACTCCATCATTTGTACACTTCTTCGCGGAAGGAATCGAAACCGCAACTTTTGTTGGCTTTTACAAAGTGGACCTCAACTCTATGATTTGATGATATTAATTATATATAGAATCACGCTTTGCACAGCTTTTAAATATTTTATTGATCCGACCAGAACTCCCTGAGTCATCCCAGATTCAACTTAAAAGAAATAAAAAAATAACGGCTGTCAATCGGGAATATTACTCAAATAACCCACTTGGGTCGCAGCAATTTCAGTGTACACCACCGAAAAAAAAAAAAAATTTTGCGACCTTATTACGACTAATATATAACTAATATACAACCTATTACGACTAACAAACTACTCTTATTTTAGTTGTATATTAGTTATATATTAGTCGTAATAAGGTCGCAAAATTTTTTTTTTTTCTGGGTGGTGTACCCTGAAATTGCTGCGACCCAAGTGGGTTATTAGGGTTAAAACCCCCTGTCAATCCCCCATGCAATTATGATGCCTGAACACCAATAAAAAAAAAAGGAAAAAACAAATCCATTGACATATCCTTAGATTACTCTTCATAGTGCCTGAAGAATTCATCTCCGTTGCTGCAAAATAACAGAATATGTTGTGGACAGAAGGGGCGGGGGAATAATTTGGGGCGTTGTTCTATATAAAACTAACCTTGCATGGGACATCTCGTGGATTCCCATGTCGTATAATGTACCGCAGCTCATGACAGACGAGACACGAACATGTTGTCCTCTTGTCCTCTTCTTCAGACAAAAATCTACATGAAAATCATGAAGGAATAATGCAATATAATGGCCGTCAAAAAAATTATTATCTCATACCAAATGCTGTGGATAAAAGGGGCAAGAAAATCACCATCGCAAGTCCTGTCTTGTTACTTACTTACAGTCTGAAAATGACAAGGTTTAAAGAGACACGACAAAGCCCTCTTCTCCTGTGTTGATGACTATTTGATTAGTAGCTGTGGGTTGAGCAAGATCATTAATTCTCTCAAATAAGGTTAAGCTACGCAAACTTCAGAGCCTATAGAGAAGCTAAAGTGCGAACTGATGCATATATACTCCCAGTAGCATGTATAGGTAAATTCCGACAAAGAAGATATTTAGAGCTTCTCAAAGAATTACTCACGTAGTGATGTACCATGTGATCGGACCATCCGCAGGTCAAAGTTCAGTGCAACATTCGATCCGACAATCAGAGCCCTAATTTCCGCCGATTTGGGGATTGTCGACTACTTGGCTTCTAGAAAGGGAATCACCGCCCATGGAGATGGAGGATTCTCCGATATGCAGACCGTAGCCGGAGGAGACAAAGACGACATCGATTCCGGTGGGAGATCCCTGTCCTGGAGTTTAGGCACTCGAGCAGCTATGGTTCCCTTCAACTGATTTGTCGAAGGCGAAATGGATGTCGCACGTCAAGGCATTAGCCGACATGATCACTTTTAGTATCAAGTCGGCGTACCATCACTTCCATGGCTGTTTGGCTTCGAATTTTCTCGGAAAAATTTTCCCAGGGATTTCACACAGAAATCGAAGAGGAGAGAAGAGGGGGGGATGTGACGTGCTTGACAAGGAATCCACTAATTTCTATTCTTGAGTTAGGCTTGTTATTGCTGGTTATGGGCCAAATGGGCCTTTTAAAGGCCCATATAACCTTTCAAGAGAGAATGATCCTCTCCCCAATGATATCATATACCCATGAAGTTATAATGCTAAAGTAACCAAATCATCCAACTTCAAGACGATGGGGAAACAAAAAGGCAGAATCTTTATGCACAGTGTGTGACAATAAATGGAATCAAATTCAGAAAGGAAAAAAAAACAGAATGAAAAAGATGGCATCTGAACAGGAATTTCCATGCAATTAAATTGCAATCCAAAAACCAACTTTACCATTTTTGTACCAAAAAGCCGAAGTTCTTCAAACATATGTATAGAAGTGGAAAACTCATGCAAAGGAAAATGCAGTGTTAAACAGAGAACGAACCAGACATCAGTTTTTTTTTTTTTTTGTTCGGACAGTTTCCACTTTCCAGTCTTAACCCCTAACCTTTTCGAGCTGATTTTCACCTTCTAGGATTCCCGTTGTTGCGGATTATGTTGCGTTCGTCCCAGATAGGGCACGTACATGTTGCTTTCTTGTTCTTCCATTCAGCCCCACAGGTGTAGCAGAACTCGTACCCGCATCTACATGACAAATACGAAACGAAATCATTGTGATGAAATCGCCATTCGTAATCTATGGTTCTGCAACAAATGTATAAACCCACTGTTTTAAGAGACCAAATCAAAGCATTCTCTTCTGTGTCGATGGACACGAGCAGAACATGATTCGATCATTCTGTAGTTGTCTCAATCCCTACTCCGTTCTTTCAGAACAGCTAACAACATCCAAGGCTGTTGTTTCTCAATTCAGAATTTGGTCCATGATTAGCCAAGATGATATCTTTGAAAGCAACTCATCTTGATATATAGATAAGAGATAAAAGGGTAAGTACCTGCAGGTGATGTGGTAACAACCCCAAGCAAGTTCAACCATCTGACTACACTTTGCACATTGCCGCCATAGCTTTTTCCGAGCAAGAGACTTCAGCATCCCGTCTCCCGCATTCTGATTCGCGTGCGACCTACTGTAATCATGGCAAGTCATGTAATAGTGCCATGGCACCTTGCAACTGAAGCAGAAAAACAGCCCGCATTTCATGCATTTTCTAGCTCCAGATTGATCAACACCAACAAGATATGCCCTAGTATATTCCAAGACCTCGTGTTTGACCATCAATGCGGAGCATTTGGGGTATGGACAGTATATCTTATCTGCAGGATTAATTGAAGCTTCCTTCTTTCGTTGGCTCATAACATCAACCAGTTTGGGATCCAAAAACTTTGCACAACTCTCAATCTTTACTTCTGATTTGCACCCTTCACTCGGGCAGTTTGCTGTTCCTCCTTCCAGTAACTTCACTTCAACATGCTGCTTCATACAGGGAAAGCAAAAGCGGTGGAAGCAACCATCTACCGAGAACATTCTCTCCACCTTAATCCCGTCATAACATATCACACAAGTTTCCTTGAAAGTCTTGCCTTCACTAGTTTCTTCGGGCCATTTGATCTGTGACACGATTGCATCTCGTGCAAGTTTGAACACAAACTTAATATCCTTTCTTGCCAAGTGAGATGGTTGACAATATGAGAACTTTCTTTGCAGAAGAGCCACTTGGTTTAAAAGAGTTGCAAGGGTGCTCTGCCTCGGTTCAACTCTGCCCGTGACCTGAATTAGGGAGGAAAACATGACCAAACATAAAAAAATAAGAGACCCTAAAAAAGATTAAAATGAAAAAGAGTAAGATCATAGTAATATTAAGAAAGAGAATAGAAAGCACCAACTAACATTTCTTCAATGATAAGTTGACCAACATCCGCAGTGATATCATCAATAAGACAAACATTTAAGTGTACCAGACACCCAAAAGGATCAAACCCAAAATTTGTAGCGTCAATATGAAAACGTAAATGAAACCAACCAAGAAATTCATGGCTTAAACAGACATAGAACTCACCAAGTAATGGAGAAAAACCGATACACAAACAGATATCAAGTCATTGTCACTGAAAGGCAATCACTTTGATAGAAGAATTGAAGGGTTTTACACAGATTACTCACGTATTGGTAGACCATGAAATCATCACATAGGATTGTGACCCTTCCCAAATCAAAGTTCAATGCTTCATTCAATCCATGGACCAAAGCCTCCATTTCTGCAATTTCAGGGCTTTTCGACTCCTCGGCTTCCAGAACCTTCTTCACTTCCCAAATCAGATTGTCCGCCGAATCACAAATCGCCACACCAACACCACCCACCATCACCCTCATATCCCCGATTCTCTCTTCGCTTACCAAACCCTTACAGTACAACCGGAAACTCTCGCTGCCGATCGCCGCGAACGAGGAGGAAGTGACGGCAGAGGAGGAGGAAGAAGCTACGGCGCAGGAGGGGGAAGCGACAGCGAAGGAAGATACGGCGGAGGAGGGGGAAGCGACGGCGAAGGAGGAAGCCCCAAAAGCGTACGGCTTCTCGTAGTTGTCGCCGTACTTGCGCCACTCTCCCTCCGGAACACTCATAATCTCTCTAGCGAACTTCTGATCGTGAATCCGACGGTCGAGATCCTCCTTCAGCCGCTTCATCTCTCTCTCACCGAACTCCCGGTCCCTCCTCTCCTGATCGAGCCGAGCAAGGTCTTCCAGAATGAGAGCAGTGTAGTCAAACTCGTCTGCGGCGCCGGAAGAGAGGGGGACTACGTCGTCCACGGTGGGAGAGGCAGGAGGGGCAGAAGTGTGGAGTGACCGAGAAGCGACTAGGGCTTCCTGCATTTGGAGATTGAAGGCGAAATCGAGGTCGGAGGCCAGGGCTTTAGCGGCCATGACCTCTTCACGCTGCTCCTCGAGAATCACATCGACATCGTCCTTCTCCATGGCTGGGCTGTTTTTCTGGGGAAAATCTCCCGGGATTCGATGGAGAAAGAGACGGGGGGAGAGAGAGAGAGAGCGGTTAAGCGTGCTTCGGAAGGAATTTGTAGCGGTTCCGAACGACTTGACTTGACGCTTGATCCCCTTGGTATGATTTTATTAGATATGTTAATGCAAATAATAAAACCCTACTTACTTTATAAAAAGGCTCTAGGAAGCTATTTATCTATAGAGATAGAGGAGACAGACTGATTTGGATATACACTATTTTTAAATTAAATATAAAGTAATAAGAAGAATGAAAATAGAAATTACTTTTGAAAACAAATATCACAATGAACCCAAATAAAAAAATCAGATTGGCACAAATCTTTAAAACTGGAAACCAAAGTAGCAGTACCTTGATCTTGAAACTCAACTATATATACATATATATAATCAAAAGACTAATTCGTGGTTCATATAAGCCCACATAATTTCTCAGCGTCGTTCAAAGTAACGTATATAGCAAAGGAAAAGAGAAGCAGATTTTTGTTTTTCCGACTTGAACACTGAAAAAGCTCACCACCAGTCCGCATCGGAGTCCCTTGGATCCCAAGCTTCGCTGAAATGATAATCCGTGGGCCAGAAATCGTCGTATTCCATTCTGCCGAATCCCCCTGTTTCATCAAAATGAACTGCTGGTGGTGTGGTACCACCAGATGGATCAGGATAAGCTTCCTCCTCGAGCCGATAGTCCTCATCATCAAAGTATCCGTCTCCCATGACGTTTTCAGGAGCGTGAACTGTCATAGAACCAGGCGGGTTGCCAGCGTGTGCTAGGGGAACTTCCTCCTGGTGGTTATCCCAATCTTCTTCTTCCTCCGGGAATCCATCGATGCCTTCCTCGAGGCGGTTGTCCCAATCTTCTCCTTCCCCCGGGATGCCTTCCTCGAGGCGGTTATCCCAATCTTCTCCTTCCTCCGGGGTGCCTTCCTCGAGGCGGTTATCCCAATCTTCTCCTTCCTCCGGGATGCCTTCCTCGAGGCAGTCCAAATCCTCTTCTTCCTCCGGGATGCCTTCCTCGTGGCGGTTATCCCACTCTTCTTCTTCCTCCGGAATGCCTTCCTCGTGGCGGCTATCCCAATCTTCTTCTTCCTCCACAATGCCTTCCTCGAGGCGGTTATCCCAATCTTCTTCTTCCTCCACAATGCCTTCTTCGATGCCGTAAAACCTGCGAGGAAGAATGAGTTCTGGATAATCGTCTAACCCCCAACCTATGAGAACAAAGAGTGTGAAATTTAGAATGGTTTAATCAAGATTGGTAGGTTTGGGCGTTGGGATCGGGCGGGTACCCGAGATTTCCAGCATACCCACCTCGTCCACCCCTTCGGGTTTTGTTGGTCAAAGACCTCGGTCCGTCTTTACCAGGTGAAAGTCAGGTGCATGAACTCGCTAGAAGACAGAAGAAAGACTTAACTAGCAGCGAGGCGAGCTACGACGAGGGGCAAGGCCCAACGGCAGATTACCCATGGGTACGGGTGTAACAGGCCGAAGAAACCCGTATTCGAACCTGTGGCTCGTATTTTTTGCCGACAAGGATCCGACCTCATACTTGTCGGTGGTCGGATCCCAGAACCTCACATACTCACGGGATGGATACCCGTTAGTTCAATACTTAAGCCAACCCTAGAGATAGGAAATTTAGAGTGAATCAGTATGAGACATTACCATCTTTCAGGGCTATTAAAGGGATCATCATTCAAATCAAGGACGGGGACATAAGGATTACGATTGAGGTAGCCTAGGATGAGATAGTCTGCCATGTCGTATTCGTAATCATCGTGGCCACCGTCATAATCATCGTCATCATCGTCATCATTATCGTCAAAGAGACCAGCATAATTTGCAGCATTGCCACGTAAGAGGTGGTTTTCATTCCACAATGGGCAAGATGACTTGCAACGATTTGCCTTCACATCCCATTCAGATCCACAGTTATAGCAGAATTGATACCCACATCTACAAACACCAAGGAGGCATGAATGAATTAATAAGATGAAAATGCAATCCCATTCTCTTGGGTAAATTTACCGTCTTTGCTCCTCTATTATCCTGATTCCGGGTTTGTCATTTGTCGGATTGCTCCAGATTAAGAAAGGAACAAGTGTATATGGAGAATCGAAAGAGAGATACCTGCAGGTAATGTGGTAGCAACCTTGTGAAAGTTCGATCATGTGGTGGCACTTGAGACATTGTCGCCACTTGTGGAGGCTTGCGAGAGATTTCAGCTTTGCATCTGCTGGAGGGTCGGGATGGAGTTTCTTGTAATCAGCACAGGACAAGTTATCGTGCCATGGAACTTTACAGTTGATGCAGAAGTGACCATGACACTCAATGCATCTCCGAACTCCAGAACTATGGGGACGGACAGATAAGAGGCCTTCAGAAGATCCAGAAAGCTCGGCTTTTGACATTAAAGCTGAGCACTTCGGATATGGGCAGTAAACTTTATCAGTGACAGGAATCGAATCTTCTCTGATCCTCCTTTTCCACATCACCACCAGCTTAGGTGTCAAAATCTTTCCACAACTATCGATACTCAGCACAGACTTGCAGCCATCATGAGGACATTTGGGTATGATTCCATGAAGCAACTTCACCTCCACATATTGGTTTACACAAGAAAAGCAGTATCGGTGAAGGCATTTATCAACAGAAAACATGTGCTCGGCATCGGTATCATCAAAGCAGATGACACAAGTCTCTTTCCGAGCTGCCTTTGCACTGATAGTACCCTCAGAAGTCCTGGTTTGGCAAACTATGGCATCTCTTGCAAGTTTGAAAGCAAATTTGATATCGTTTCGGGTGGCCAGAACGGGTTTGGTAGATGTCAATTCAAGCCTGAGGCTGTGTAAATAATCCATAAACAGTGCAATCTTCTTTTGCTTAGGCATCCATCTTCCAGAGAGCTGCATGCAATTCAAATGGAATCTCATGAAACATAAGACAAGGTATAAGTCATATACTATACCTAGACCATGCTTCTCACCTAGCTATGATCGTTTCCAGATGAAAACTTCAACAGAACAAGAAACTCGCTTTAAGATCCCTCAAGAATCAAAACATAAATTCAACAAACCTGTTGGGGCAGAGCCAGTTAGTGTACGTGATCTAACTAAGAAAAAGAATAAAGTCATCACCGGTTTACAGTGCATAACAAACATAGAATCCATGATCATCAAGATGATGACCTTGAAAGCTGTCTCAATCAGTCATAAACAAATCTAGTGTGAGAGAAACCCTACAATGATCACTACTACTACTGCTGCTACAACATGCCCTGAGAAAGTGCTAGCAAAACGGAGAAGATACATGAACCTATGCATTGCCCAACGAAGAACTTACATATTGGTAAATTGGATAGTAATCGCAATAAATTGCGATATGTTTGATCCCCAAACCTATGGCTTCCTCAAGCCCTACCATCAACGCCCTAATTTCTGCCGCTTGACGGTTCCTGTCGGCGTTGTGCAATGGACCCTTCATCTCGAAGCACAGATTATCAGCCATATCGCATATTGCAACTCCGAATCCCGCCAACATCGCCGGATTTTTGTCATCTCCTGTTTGCTCTCTCACCAAACCCTTGAAGTACAGTCTGTACAATAGATTGTCCTTGAATTTTGACACCGAACATCCCTCGCCGGAGGAATCCGCCTGACGAACGAAGCCCTGTGGCAGTGGAATCGCTGGCGAGGGTTTCCCCGCGTTGCTGGAGCCTGAGAAATTCCGATAGATACCATTTTTGCCGGTGGTTATGCGGTCATCTCCGGGAACCCCAGTGGATTTCTCGTAAATAATGCCCTTTCCGTTGGGTTTTTCGTTTCTTCCGCCTCCGTTGGGGCGTTCCCTAAGATCGCCGCCCTGATTCCCGACGGGCTGGACCCTCGAACTCCTCTGATCTTCGTTGAAGACGATCGCGACGCCGCATCTGTGGAAGACCGGAGACGGAGAACGCCGCGGAGCGGAGGAGGATCGGGAGGAGAGAGAGGCCCCAAGATCGCCGCCCTGATTCCCGGCGGGCTGGACCCTCGAGCTCCTCTGATCGTCATTGACGACGATTGCAACGCCGCACCTGTGGACGATCGGAGACGGAGAACGCGGCGGAGGGTCGGAGGGTCGGGAGGAGAGAGAGGCGGAGATCGCTTCCTCCATCTGCAACCGGAAAGCGAGCTCGGAATCCGATAGATGCGCCATGGATTCTATCTTCGCTGATACTTCGCCGAAAAATCAAGCGTAGTTCGGTACGGACGGAGGGGGATGCCTCCGCGATAGTCTCGCCTTGCGGTTAGAGACCTTGATCTTTTCTACATCGTCGCGTTTCAAATTTGTAGGTCTACGTAGAGTGGTATAAATCGTAATATCGTCAACAAATAGGGGTAAAATCGATAACATGGAACTCTCCGTTTTTTCATAAATTCAAAAACTTTCTATATTATAAACTCAGATTTACTGATAAATACTTTTACTTTAACTAAAATCAAATTTATTAACTCAAATCAAATAAATTACCATATAATCATTTACCAAATAATAAAAAATAAACAAGACCGACATTAGTGTAGATCTAATATCAATTTTAAAAACTAATATCTTTTTGTATATAGTCCTATATAAATAGACAAGGTTAAAATAAATATAGTAATATTTTAACCCTATAAAAATTAAAACTTTCCCTAATAAGGAATAAAACAATAAGTTAGTTTCCAAAAAAAAGACATTATTGGAATCAAGAGAGTGATTTTCCTTGGAATACAAGTAACCACCCGAAGATTCTGCGTTTTCCAATAACTTCTGTTTTTTCGCCGGAAAAGAGGAAATCTGCTTCCGCCATTACCGGAGCTTCCCCTTCATCGTCCATCTCTGGTTCATTCGTTCCGAATACGCAGCTCCGGTTTAATCCGACAGCAACGGTGACAACTTCCGGTTAAGGGTCTGACCGGACATCCATCACGAATCAGAACAGAACAAAATGGTATCACCATTGTTTTAACAATAATCCTTTTGAGACAACCGTCTGATTATCTTACAGACCATATAAAGAGTTCAGTTCCTGTAGTAAACCCAGAAACAATTCAACATACAATCAACCAAACACTCGGACCCATTTCTCCAAATCCCCTAAAACCCACCAAGAAAATTTGAATTTTGTTTAAAAACACAAACTTTTACATCAGAAAGCTTCAACCTTTCACCCAATTCCAACGCATCAAAGCTGGAAATGACTGGGGTGTGCCTTTGTCATCCTGGCTTCCCCGGCCGGCTCGTCGTTGTCGATCCTCTTGATATTCCGATAGGCCGCATAGGCGATCACGTAAAAGATGACGAGAATGATCAGAACGACGATATTGATGACGGACACCTTTCTCCAGCTCTTCTTCAGGCTCCCTAGAACTCCGGCTCTGCAGGAGCCGCATTGGTAGCACAGAAAGGCCTGGTCGTTGCTCCAGACCGTGCAGTCGGGGTTCGTCCCCACAAGCCCTCCTCCCGGGGCCCACACCGTCTCGTTCACGTACGTGTAACCGCACTCTGTCGGTGGCTTGCAACAACCCGACTGCAACAGTATTTACAGATCATGTTAATCAAGGATTTAAATGAAAGTATTCTACAAAAGGACAATCTTTATGACCATACAAGATCTAGTTTAGTTCAAGTGAGGGATTCTAGCCAGCCAATTGAAAGGATCTTCCGA